GTAAGCATCCAGCTTACAATAACTTGGTTTATGTTTTATCAGCCAGATTGGTGAGCAATATTGGTATTCAGGTATCTCCACCAATTGTGTGACTTCACTACTGAAGTTGTAAGTGTTCATAAGTGTCTGTAACACACATACATTTCAGTCATTTTGCAGATGCACAAACCCATACTATTACCTGATAATCATATGATAACAGAGGGCTCTCAAACATTAATGACACTTGGAAGTGCTGGTTAACAGACTCATATTTGAAACACTAGGTCTTATACATAGATAAACAGTTCTCCATCTCCCTCCTCCAGCAAGTAGATATCTTGTATGATATATAGATAGCTGTGTTCTACCAATGCATGTCATTACCTTCTCCCTCCTCCATCTCAGCTAACACAGGCCAAAACACAGTTTGCTCACATCCTTGATTCATCTCTTTTATCTCTCTATTAAGAGAATATGCTGCCTTTCTAAAGGTAGCCTCAGCAACTATTGCAGCTTCATCTACCCCCTGTGTTATATGTGGGCTTGATGAAGGCACAGCCAGGAGCCCTACCAATGGATCAGAGGTACTGGCTGTACACGATTAAGTTCCTGCATATAGAAGTAGAACAAATCAATGTTTTCTGCTGCTGTTGCTCAGCTGGAAACAATGAGAGAACAGCTGTTAGGTAGGGGCGCAAAAGGATCTCAGCCGAATGGACAGAATTGGTAAGAAGAGGCATTGAGATATACAGGATACCTAAAATGAATTGAGGTACTGCCAACCATGAATTGAAAAAGTCACCGTACCTTTCCCAGAGGGGCCGACATTGTACCTGGACCTGCTGTCATAACATGCACAGCAGAAATAGCCGATCCCCCGTGTAACGACCCCGGCGGAAAGACAAGAAGTAAAGAATCCGACACTTCTGACGTTCCCGAATCCTCGATATCCCACGGCAAAGTAATTGGCCCATTAACGACGGCAATACATCGCGCCACTGCAAATGGCCGCGGGGAGCTGTAGGATGATATACTCGGACGGATGACATCTGCTAGGGTGCTAAGGTGTCCTGGTAGAAGAGAAGTCGACGATATCAGGCATCGACAGTGAAGACGGTCTGGAAAGTCGTCGACTTCAATAGCGAACCGGGGTAGATCTGATGTCAAAACAGGGTTTTCTGGCTCAGCGGATCGACAGACGAGATACTTGTAACGGATCGTCCTAGAATATAAACACCTCCCCTCACAGCAGCTGCCCGACAAAAGCCTTGTGCAATTTCGCCCGAGCCACCGTAGTAGCCAACAAGAAATGAGGATGGCCCATAGCGACCAGATGCCTTCAGGTAAGCGCGGATACGATGCAGAGCGGGAAGAGTCTTTTCTGCAATAAAATAACAGTATCCCAGGGCATAGGTGATGGCCCGAGCGGTTGCCTCGCTGAGCAAAAAAATCCTATGCAAGAAATCGAGCAAGGGCGAATTTTCTTGGCCATGCAGCTCCTTGTTATTCTCGAAATCTCCAGCAGCAAACATAAGGAAACGTGTGACCCTCCTCTTCTCTAAGAGACTCATCGCCTTGCTCTGAAAGATGTCATCCTTGCTCTGAGGCACATCTTTCAACATCCCACCATCATAAATAACAACGCGACCAAGGAGCTTGAAAGATCCATAGCGAGAGACGCCAGATGCAATGAGGGACGAAATGAAAGGGCCGATAGATGGAATGACCGAAGGACCCAATGAGACTGAGTACTGTCTCGCATAAGACGGGAGTTCACCATAATGGGTGACGGAACGATCGTGCTCTTTACGGCGATTAACCCACTGCACGAGTTCATCTAATGAGAGAGATGCTTCGTCTGCACCGTAATATGGATTGGGGTCATATGTGCGACTTTGAAGCCAGCTTTGGAGAGAGCACTGATAGATTCCTACTAAGTACAAGAACATTGTGTGCGAGTGTCAAATTTTGCTCACGCAGCAGTTATGGACTCGATCAGACCGGTGCCAAGCACGATAACGTCAAAGTGATTATCCATTGCTGCAGTGATAGAAGAAATTGATTCAGATACAGAGCACTCTCAGCATTCTGGCAAGTCCTGAACCAACCTGCCCTTAATCAGAATGGCTCACGTGCTTATCGAGCCAAAATTTTGGACTTCCTACTTCGCAAATCTGTATCCTTCACTTGCACACCATGCAAAATCAGACAAGAAGGCAGACAAAAAGACGGCAGATAAGGCCAAGGCTGCCAAAACAGCTGCTGCCTCACCCGCAAAAGCAAAGTCGCTAGCGTCATCCAAAGAGATTTTGGCCAAGGCTGTATGTATTTCCTGTCGTTCAACCGTCCCCTTCTGACCTTTTTACACAACCTCCATAGAAAGTACTCAAAGCATCGAACGGAAAGGCTTCCGTTAAACGTGCCAACGACGAATCATCTGACGATTCCTCAGACTCCTCTTCGGAAGACGAAACAGCCTAAAAAAACTGTGTTAACGTCGGACTCTGATGATTCATCGGAAGAAAAAAAGCCTGCTAGTACCCGGCCAGCAAAAAAGGAAAGAGTAAAATGGAGATCGATGATTCCTCTGATTCGTCTTCAAGCGACGAGAGCTCATCAGATGAGGTCCGTGACAAGGATGTAGTGATGCAAGATGCTCAGCCTGCCAATGGTGAGTGATTGATGATACTAGTCTGCGCTCAACTTGATTTTCTATCGTGTTCTTCAGGCAAAAAGACAGATAAAACCAAGGCGGCCAAACCAACCGTCTCGCCCGGAAAGAAAGTCAAATTGCCGACATCATCCAAGGACATTTTAGCTAAGGCTGTATGTATTCGCTTTTCAGTCTTTTCAATTTTTACTCACATCTACAGGGAGCACTCAAAGCATCGATTGCAAAAGCTTCCCAATCAAGCGACGAGTCCTCGGACTCCTCTTCGGAGGGTGAACCACCCAAAAAGGCTGCCCCTGCTTCAGACTCCGATGACTCATCGGACGATGAAAAGCCAGCCAGTGTCCCGGGCGCCAAAAAGGGGAAGGGTAAAGAAAGTGGTGATTCTTCCGATTCTTCGAGCGACGAGAGCTCGTCAGATCAAGATGGGGCCAAGGGTACTGAGGTACAAAATGCTCAGCCCGCCAAGGGTAAGCTATTGATCGCAGTGGTCATCTATCAATCTGAATGGTCTACAGGCACCAAGCGCAAAGCAGAAGCAGAGCCGTCCGTTCCCCAAAAAAAGGTAAAGTTGGTTGATGGCGATGGCGATGCCGCTCCTAGCGTATCGATCGAGGAAACGAAAAGTATCTTCGTTGGTCGGCTATCATGGAATATCGACAACGACTGGCTTGCACAGGAATTTGCCTCCTGCGGCGAAGTTATCTCTGCTCAAGTACAAACAGATCGCGCAACCGGCAAGTCGCGCGGTTTTGGCTATGTGCACTTCGCATCCGTAGATGCGGTTGAAAAGGCTCTCCAAATGAATGGCAAGGAAATTGATGGACGACCTGTCAATATTGACAAAAGCACTCCGCCGGATAAAAGCGCTGTCCGTGAAAACCGGGCAAAATCTTTTGGCGACACGCAGAGCCCAGTATCAAGTGTTCTCTTTGTTGGGAATCTTAGCTTTGGTGTCAACGAGGACCAACTTTGGGAAGTCTTTGGCGAGCACGGCGACGTTAAAAGCGTTCGTGTTCCAACGGATCGTGACTCGGGAAGGCCGAAAGGTTTTGCCTATGTCGAGTTTAGTGCTGTGGAGGCCGCACAGACAGCCCACGGGCAGCTGCAGGGTTATGAGCTTGACGGCCGCAGCCTTCGCTTGGACTATTCCCAACCAAGAGACAACGCTGGGGGTGGACGGGGTGGGGGTCGTGGAGGATTCGGCGACAGAGGTCGTGGACGTGGTGGGTTCGGTGGCGGTGACCGCGGACGTGGACGTGGTGGGTTCGGTGGTGATCGTGGTGGGAGAGGACGCGGTCGAGGTGGTGACCGTGGTGGGAGGGGTGGCGGCAGAGGCCGAGGGGGTGCACGCACTGGCGCCGTCACTCAGTTTGAGGGGTCCAAGATCACTTTCGATTAGACATTTTGCGATGTCATTCCGAGTTCGTATGGACTGCTACGCGGCGCTACCCCAAATGATGACTTCCCACTTTCAACGTGGCTCAAGTCGTTGCATATCTTTCGTATATACATACATATGCACAATGTTCTATCGCTGCGGTTGACAACTTGATCTATCATACTTCATTAACTGTGAATTCAAGGTAAAGGGGGAAAGGGGATGATATCGGTAAGTAAGCTAATCGCAAGTCCATGTGTATCCACCATTGCTGAGTGAGGTTAGCCCATTTTACCCTCTTGAAACGCCTTGCGATAGGGATTCTGACTCGGAGGTAGCGCACCAGTCTTCTCTAAACGATCAAATAACACAAACAACTTCTCCGCCTCGTGTTCCTTCTCTTCATCAGTCATGTCGATGTTTTCCGAGGGATGCTCAACGGTGCCAGTGATGGGGTTGATGGGTAAACCTGACGCAGTAATCGGTGGTGCGCCCGAGGTCGCGCTGACAGGCGGTGCACTGACAACGCCTTTGTGAAATAGGAAACCAGCAACATTGCCGTATCCGAAATAACCAGCAAGGGTTGTAGCTAAATTTCATTCGTAAATATGACCGACGGGAGGTGCATATGACGTACCGTTTGAATCACACATTGCATACAACATTTCTCCCATGGAGTCCTTCAATCTGCTGTGGTACACGGATGCAAGGAGTCTCAAGCATCGACCTAAAAGATCTGCTCTCTTCTCCAAAGGATGGGTCCTGTCCAGATCTTCAGGCACCAACCACTGTCTTATTCTTGTCTTGGCATCGTCATCACCAAGACAGAGTCGTGTGATAAGTAGAACAAGTGGGCACACAATTTCATCCAGGGATGTGTCCCCATCAATTTTGCACAGATCTCGCACTGCAGGATCATCTGAATCGATATCACCTGGAAGGAAATGAGCAAGGGTCATGTCCAGGAGTTCATAAGCGCGTGAAGCGCAGTCAGCAGTGGAAGACGAGTCCGGAAGTGGTGAATGGTGAAACGAACGGCGACCGGCTGGAATGACAGAAGATATGGCACGTTCAATATGCTCCTTAGGCGTTGATTGGTCATCATGACTTGAACCAGTCAAAGAAGAGGTTGTGGGCTCGGCCGAATTAAGCTGTGGGGTAGTCGGACGTGAATGTGGGAGAGTACCGAACCATATCGCTCGGGATGACGAGTCAACAGGAATAGTGATTAGCGAGTGAATGATGTGAGTCAGCGGCGACGTAAGGGGATTTGGGGAGGAAAGGGGGATAGTCTGAAAGGCACGAACAAGTGAAGGTAGGATGCTGCAGTACCATGTGAGATACTATAATAAAGATCGTCATAAGGCACTCACCCATCAAGCCGCGAATTCCAGAAATCACCCATCACCTTTTGGTCATCAGGACTGCCAGCTAGCGCGGGATATTGTAACTCAGAGGGAACCAGCTGCAATGCGACTGAGAGTTCGTAATTATGGTTAAAGGCGAAGTGACTGACCTTGGGATAGTGTATGAGGAGATTAAAGGTGAGCTTCAGGAGATCTGTCATGGCATCGCGGGACATCTTTATTCCAGCTTGCATGGACGCGATTAAATCATCCAACTTAAGTGCAATAACATCGATTATTGTTCCATTTCCCGGAAAGTGGGTGCGTTTTGTCTCAACGATAGATTGAATGAAGGAAGCGGATTGATGAGGGGATGCAGTACAGAGGAAGAGGATTCTGGATGAGAGAAATGTGTTTTCGGGTGTTGCAGATTTCTAGAAAAAATGGGTTGAATGCAAAACACACAGGGCGATGGACTCTGACCTGGAGTAGCTCGATACAGATATTTCCTCCATCGATATCTTGACTCAGCAACGTGGTGCGGGCAGGTTCACTGAGGAGTAAGGTGTTGGCAATGCACTTCAAAGCTTCGTTCGATGCATCAGGAGCAGTTTCGAGTTTTATGGCAAGCGTCATAAGACATTTGAGGTTAGGAACTGATGCAAGGACTTGAGCGCCATGGGGAATTCTACCAAGTCCCTTGACAGCAGAAAGAGCGGACAATGCGTCTGCCATTGACATGGGATCAGTACGGAGTGTATAGATCTAATAGAGTGAGCAAACCGTCTCTGATTAAGCGGCTGGGCGAGCCATCGATAATGACAGCCTGGAGATCATCGATGATGAGCTGAATGAGTGCTTTACATGAAGGGGGATTAATAGGTGGAGCACCTAAGAAACTAGATTAAAGCAATTAGCCATAAAACAAGATTAAGACATACTAGCGATTGATTGAAGTGTACGTGATATCGTAGCTCTTGGGGAGCTCGATGACAGGGAAGAGTACACCTGAAGAACCGACATATGGTTTCTAGGAAACAAAGAGCTGTCAAGTATGCCAGAAGTTGTATGCTTGTTTTATTTATCTTTCAAGTGGCTTTCAAGCGTACCTTCAATAGCGTCACTATCGTGTAGGCGATCGGCACGGTCGCTTCAGCCTTCCGACCAAGTAAACATGTACAAATAACATATCCCTCGCAGTGGCGGCCCGCTTCTCAGCCAAGTACTTACTTACCATGCATCCGTCTGTTAAAGTGCTCGCACATAAACCTCTCATCAGCTTTATCGGAAAGCGTGTATGGCCAGCTAGTGCGTTGGTTTAATTATTGTCATGCATAAAAACCTAAATGTCATAATAGCTGCAGGTCCCTCTCACCCTCATCCAGCTGCTCCTCCAGAATGGCAAAAGTCCTTTTCTGAAAAGGCTGTTCCTCACGGCTCACACCGAGCACCGCAGGAACATCCTGTCTTCCTAGAATTCTGGGACGCTCCAGCACGCTTCTCGAAGCCATCCTCCAGATATTTAGAGCAAGTAGAGATCGATGCCATACTGGTCAGTATTTCTGTGTAACAAATAATTCAGTGCTCACTGCCGTGCAGAGTGGGGGAGCTTCTTTGCGATAGAATAGATAAATCTGATAGACACCATTTACAATTCATGCCGCGTCACCCCCAAACCTTATCTAAATCACTTTTTCCAAGTTTCCGCAAGCAAATGATTAATTCTCATGTGTGCAACAATGCATCTAGTCCTTTTCTGCATATGCCAGCAAATATCTCTCTACCTCGGCCTCATCCATCACACGCCATTCACCACGAGTCTTGGGGTCCTCGTCCTGAGCAGTCGACACGATCCCAATCTCTATTTCCCCGGCCTTGTAGTCCGTCGCATGAACAGTCGACATTGCTTCTATTGCAATCTAAACAATGCTCAGCTATTCAAGTCATTTTATAGTGTAGTATCCCTCACCTCAATAACCTCCGCTCGACTGAGCTTCTTGCCAGCAGCTGCAGCATCATCAGCTCCCTTGCCCTTGTCTAGCTTCTTCCATTTCTTTTCTAGGTGGTTCATCGCTTCTTGCTG